GAGAGTAACCACCGATATATCGGTTTGATTACGTTTTTGTGTCGCTTCTTATATGCCTTTTTGATATTTAGGCAGTAAAATATTGCCATTGCCCCGAGGGGGTGCTACACCGCCGCACTGCTGTAAAATAATATTTAGCTATATATAGATTCACCTATTTTGTAATTTACGATTTAGTTAATATGTTGCTAGTTTACTACAGCCCATTCTTGACCGCCAAATTCCAAGTCAATACGCGTAGTGCTTATGTAATTTTACAATTTTAAAATTACGATATCCGTATTCTTCGCAAATGAAATCCTCGTCGGCTTCTGTCATCTTGAGACGTGCTCCTTGATGCCGGCTGTTGGATAAGAATAAAATAATTAAATGGTCCAGCACTTTTGACACCACGCAGAACATTATTTTTCGCTGAACCATATGTTCGACGCGTTACTCCGTGGGCTTACCTCCACGACGGGACCCATATGACCAGGCGGGGGCGGGGTGCCAAATAAGAGTGCAGTTTCGTCCGGCTCAGCGTCCCGTACCGGACTCACTGCCAACTAAAAGTTCCCACGGAAATGGAATGTTATCGACCCGACTGCGGACGGGAGCGCCTGCTATATACGCCAGCAGGCAGACACCACTTTCAAATATTTTTCAGCCGTGCGTAAAAGTTGTCAGGCTGGGGGAAATCAAAACTCTTCTTCGTTTTCAAAAATAACTGATAACTAAAATTCGACTGGTCTAGAACCATTTCAATTTAAGATAGGAAAATTCACGATTTCTGACTCCGAATCAGAAATATCGGTATTTCAGAGATGCTTCGTCTATCGGACAAGTGTTGTAAAATCGCACCATATTTTACCAAAAGTAAGGACAATATTCTAACTAGCTGGACCTTGGTGCCTATAACTTTTGAGGTATTTTAACACGTTGAGTCTCAAAGGGGGAAGCCAATCCCAATTACGGCTAATTGTGCCCATACGTGTGGTCACGTGGGACTCAATGTGCATGCCTCAACAGAGTATGCCTCGTGCCTTCCCGTTCAAAATTTCTAGAGCCCCGTTCCCTTCCGCCCGCGCGATGAGACTTTAATCCGCGATAAAACGTAAAACCTAATTGTCTCGTCACAGGCGCGAGCGCAGGGGCTTAGGGGCGGCAAACACCACATGATTTATTGCAGGGTGGCAAACAAGACAAGCAAGTAGTGTTTGAACGGCCACTGCTAGGTCGGGTTGACGGTTTTCGAGAAATTAAAATAAAACGTTAACT